CATTCGCATAATTCTGTTTACTTCTTAGCGTAATTTTACAATCCAAAAATAAATTTACTACATTCCAGCCCACCGTCACCTTTACCATCTCACAACGGTTTTCCAGATCCAGGATTTATGGCTCCATTTGATTCAGGATCGATGGACAGCCGTTCGACCTTGAGGAGGTAAGCACGAGCAAAGTTGTTCCTTATGCACAATTTATTTGCCTTTTGCCATTTGCGTGCAGACGTCATGCTTTACTTATTCCTTTTGTATATCGTCCAGTATGGACAGTTCAAGACTGGACGATGAACATAAATTAATAGCACGATATGCACAAAGGTTGGCACAAGAAGCTAGGACTATGGTAAGTTTTTTAACATTTTACATACTCATTTTACCCTTACCGTTCTACACAGCTACGCGCGCGTTCTAATTTGCTTTGACATTAAAGCGCGAGTGTTGTCAGCTATTCTGATTCATTAAATATGCAAAGGCCGTGAAAGCCAATTAAGCCGTTCTGTCGTTTCGCGACTCGTGCTCACTTGCCGGCACTAATGTTAATTTCATAACTGCTTCGTTAACAGCCTCGTACAGCGTCCAGAATGTCCCAGGCAGACCAAACTGTAAGTACACATCGTTTAGAATATCGTTAAAAGTTCCGCGCTGCATATAGTTTCATATGAGATAATATTTCTGATTACAGGGTAGAGCGCCGTCGGATGCGAACTTGGCGTCGTTGGATGCATCGCGAGCGCAGCGTGAGCTAATATCACAGTTAGAGGCGAAGAACAAGGAAATAATGCGCGAGATAGCAAGGTTAAGGTATACCTGTGTCGTTTATATTCCTTTATATCAAGCCTAAACCTCGATTTCATCCTGTTGACCCATCCTAGGATCACGCATGTTCAGAACGTTTTGTTTCGCTTTGTGTCACCTTGGTTGCATAGCTCGCACTATGAAATAAAGAGAAAACAATACATATTTATATACTGTCGATGAATAATAATGACAAAAATTACAATTCGCGTTTGAATGATAAAACAAATTTGTTAATGTCAATCATTCTTGTCACCAATCTCTCTCGGATTGATGTACTCATTAGATTCATATACTAATATTACATCAACCACACGTCACACCGCTTTACATTAAAGTCAGTGGAGTGGAATATTATTACGTACTTATATAAAGCGCGTGATACATATTCCGCTCCCTTGTGTTGAATGCCTGAAAATGTTTCAAGAAACATTTTATCCTCACTGCAGAAGGCAACAGGAAATAGAAGCTGCGGGTTTGGAGAATCCGGCGTTAATGTCGGAATTGCGAGCTTTGAGACAGAGAAAGGATGAACTGGAGACACATCTGGCCACGTTGCAAGATTCCAGGAGGCAATTGATGGTACAACTAGAAGGTCTAATGAAAATGCTAAAGGTATTTTTACAAACATTATTCTTCTCCCTTGCATATTTATAAAATTTTAACGTCATAAAATAGTCTGAGGTTTAACACAACTCACTGTTTCATAAAAAACGAGAAAAAATGTCAAAGCTACACATTGTTTTTATTGTTTTCACTCAATTAGAAACAATCAATAATGTAACGCGAATTATTCCAATAGAACCACCAAGCGTCGCCACGATCAACACCGAACAGTTCACCGCGGAGTACGAAGTCGCCACCTTTGCCACCCGGTGCTATCCGAGCAGCAGGTCGGCACCGCCGACTCCCGGTGGGCCCTTGTCCACAACACCTCAACAACAACAGCAACAGCAACAACAGCAGCAGCAGCAACAGCAACAACATCAGCAACATCAGCAGCAACAAACGCCGCAACAAATATCTCAGAGCTATCAAAATCCTGTTCCGACGACGGTGGCTAATGTGCAAGGCAACGCTATACTCGGCACGATACAGAATCCTATTCCAGATAGCTTATCGTGCGTTGGAGGCGATGTAAGGTAGGCAAGCATGTACAAAAAGAGAATATAATATAGAAAAAAAAGATCAAACTTTTTGCAACGTGAAAAGAGTACAGAACGAATAGAGAAAATTGTAAACTGACACACGTGATTTATACATAGAAGAATATCACATAGTTAAATATTTCTTGGTCTATTTTCAAACGCAAATTTCACAAATCTATTTACATTCCAAATGTACATAAAAATATTTTAATAATCTAGACATTAAATTAAATCGTGCAGCTAAATAGATATTAATTATATTTGCAATAATGCAAAATGAGATATCGCTTCCGTACAAATTTGGGATAGCAATTGTACGCTATACATCACATTGCATTTAGTCCTTCCAAATTATTATCAACAAAGTAAATGATTATTCATAGTGTAAGAGAAAATCGACTTTGAGACAGAAACGCTCATAAATCAGATTTATTGCTTATATGTGAAGTGTATATCCAGATCATATACCCAGTTTATTCCAAATACTAATTTTTCTGGCAATATTATCGTAGCGATCGGAATAGAGAAACTACTATGCACATTATTCGATTACTTCACGATTAGTTGAAAAATCCTAAAATTCTCCTGCATGCAAATATAAGATACTTTTAATTAAGCTAGTATTAAGACTAATGTGGCACTAGCGCGAGATAAATTTGAGGCAATGAGTACCTCGTGAGATGTTACTTAAATCGTCAGATCTATATCGATTTATAAGTATATATATATATTATATATATAGTAGAGGTATTTGTACATCCATGTCATACCGCTTTTACCCCTGTTTTAATAATTTTTTTTTTAAGTTACATTAGGTTTGATATAAGTTTCTTATATGGGTATCTCTTTCAGTTTGCTATCATTATTATATAGTCATTTGTTAAACATATTATTTATGTACAGTACAAAAGCAGCTACCCTATAAGGAAAGTATTGATGCGTTGGATATAAGTTTGACGCGTACGAGTTACCCATCCAATCCTTCCCCGCTAAGCTTGTGTAAAACACCATCTATCTTTTAAACATTGTTATTTTGTATTTATCATGCAAGCGTTGCGACATGTAAATATACCGTCCTGCAAGTAATGTAATAACCAAGCGTGGCAAATATTTAAACCAACTGACAAAGTATTTGCGATGCGTTTATAACTTCGCCATATCGATATAATTTTTGTTAGATACAGTATCTCGTTACGCGAGAATCCAGTAAATACCACAGTTTACCCGAAATCGTGCATGTGTGTACTGTTATAATCGGTAACTTGCTAATTTTAATTTAAAACTTTGTAGATGCTTGTATGTTTTGATCGCCATAGTGATCACTATAGTGAAGCGAATGTGTAAAAATTATAAGTGGAACGATAATGCTTGTGCAATAAAAGTTGCATGCTGCAATTTCTGTTTAAAAAGATTTTTTATTTGAAAGTTGCTTCGCGCCAAGAAAATAGAGATTTTCGATGTCAGGTCTGCGTTCAGGACAAACAGCTTACCAGGGAGCGGTTCGAGCAGTGCCAATAATAGTTTGGGCCGATCTCTGAGAAACGACTTACTGGTAGCTGCCGACAGCGTTACTAATGCCATGTCAACGCTTGTGAGGGAATTAAACTCAGGTATGTTGAATAATAAATGCGTTACAAAATCGAGTATCAGAAAAGATTGATAAATTGGACGTAGTTGTGTAAACAGAAGTTGACTTGAAAATATTTGGATTATAGAAAACAATTAGGCAAAAATGTATTAAAATTAAATAATGTCTAATATTTTTAGAACATCAAATCGTTTGTAAAAGTGACAAAATCTACATCAACCAAATGTAAAATATGAAATAGAGATTATTTCATTTTGCTTGATAAAACTATGTCCAATTGTGCTTATAGTTTTAAATAGCGTAACTATACAACACTGCTCAATTTGTTATTTTTCTTCTTAGTATGTTAAACTCATTACATAGTTGACATATTAATATCGCAGAAATATAGGTATTACTATCTCAGACTGAAGGTAATTTTTATGAGGCAATAGTTAGCGCCTCCTGAGTTCTACAGATCAATTTGATACTGCAAGCTTAGCTACGAAGTATCTGTTAGCATCTATTGCCGCGTTTTTAGCTGGTAGCATGTTAGTAATACGGATTATAAGCGATTTCATCAGTGGAGCCGTAAATATGTCAAATTCAATTGTCTCGGAAGTGAGGTGAGCATTAGACAAACTGATTTGCATTCACCGGATTTATCATGCGTAGCAGTTTACAACAAAGTCATTCATCTATATTACTACTGTTTATTATTATTGCTACTATTTTTACTCTTGCTACTTTTATTATTATCACTCTCATACCACCACCACCATACTACATATAAATGTATATATTAATTAATTTGCGTATTTCATGTTATTTATAAGAAATATTTTTTTCACACAATCATTTTAAAAACAGTTAAGATAATGAAGAAAATAGTTTCGAATCTTTTAAGACGGGACTCAAACTTCTCACACAGTATGTATATCACATATTGCATTCAATTTCACTTGAAACTGCAAAAAATGCGACACAGAACCTTTAACTACTTGTTATTAACATTTGAAATATTCTCAATCATCGCATCAGAGCTGAATGTAAACAGGCATGCCACATCGCATTTATATTACTCTCATTTATACCGTCAGAATATAGCATGAAAAATGCTACTTTTTATCTGTTCCTAGTCTCGATATTCATGAACGAAGTCCACACAGATGTTATCTATGCATAAGATATGTTCGATTGGATATACTTAAATAGAAGAGAATTTTGATGCACATCTGTTTATCTATGTGTAATGTCATTCTGGAGAGTCGTGTAAGTATGACAATCAATGTTGCAGTGAGAAAATATGATGACTGTGCAATCACAAATGAATGGTCTGAAGATGCTATAATTCCTGATCATTAAAACTCACTTATATATTTGTAAATGTATAATGAAATATTCGTTTATAATTAAAAACACTTATGCTAAAAACCGTGTTTGAAAAATAGCTATACATAAAAGAATGTAACATAAATTTTATTCAGTATAATTAATATTCTGTTAATTGAATTATTAGATATTTGTTTTAAATTATTAGACATTTTATTAAGTATTAGTTCTCATTCAACGATTGCACAATTATCTGAACGTAGTTAATCATTTCAAGAAAATAAGCGATCATGAATTTATTATTGCTCCAATCATTGCAGAATTTCGTTTTCGAAATAAGCGACTCTCAAGTCTGATTTCATAAAATCTTGCATTATAAGATAAATTTTTACAAATCTTTTATGCAGTAATTAATAACAATTAATCAGATATGAGAAACTTACAAATCTCTCATTTCTAAAGATGCAATACATATGAAATACATGATATATACATACAATCCCAAAACAGTTACATTTACAACAATATTTTTTAACGAAATATGATACATATTATTTTTATTTTTTTTTTAACAAAAACTTAATTGGATATCATTATTTACCAAGACTATATCTATTTGCACGTTTCAAAAATCACTAAATTTCAAATTTAAGATAATTGAGAGTCTTCTTTTTCATTCAAATTGTAAAATCTAAATATCGAGAGAAACTGCGATAGTTTTGAGATACTGTGCACATTTTCTCTATATTGTTTATTTGTAAAATCTTCAATGTAACTTTGTTGGATTCTACCAATTGAAAAATAATGAGATAAGATGATATGTACCAAAGTCGTAAACATGTAATTTCCTGATGTAAAACATGCGCACAGAAGCCTTTTTGATTATTTCTGTTAGTGGAACTAAGTGCCAAAGTTAGCCCGAATGGTTAGAAGATGGTCTGTATATTTGCCTGTTACCATTTCTACTCGGTTTTTCATTTATTTTCTTTCTAGATAGAGAGATAGTTAATATTAGCCTGATAGCACGGACTACACTACACGCAAGACCATAAATAGCAGCAACAATAATCTGACCTGCAATTAAAAAAAAAGGGTGCTTATTTAAAAAAAAATGTGATTTTTTTTTAGACAAACTTCATATTTCAAAATTAATGTGTAGAACAAAAGACTGAAACTCAAAATTAATCTAAAATTTTGTATGAGTGTAATGAATAAAAAAAATTAAAGTACATGTATCAATTATTACAATAAGAACTGTGGCTGAATTTGGCTAACGAACAGACATTCCAATATACCATATACAATATACAAATGACACTTTAGACGTGTTGTGGAATGTGTGTGATGCACCCCCTGTGAATGTGTCCTGGTGGCTTGCAGACTCAGACCAGGAGGACCATTCTCACAACTCTGGATTAATGAATATCAGAAAGCCGCTAGGTAAGTATCTCTACATTAACCTTCATTATTTTGATTTTCGTTTGCATTTTAGATATTCGCAATGTCGTCGTTTTAAGCGAAAGAATCCTGAAAACTTTTCAAGCATTTAATTATCTACGAGTTTCACGCTGATATTTCGATTTAATTTTCTTTGGTACTTTCAACATTAATTTCGCAAATCAAGCTGTACATATCTACTCATATATTCTATCTAGAAACATCTTCCCCACATTTCTCTCATCGTCATTAAAAGATATCAAAGCACTACGATGTATATTTCTGACGATAATATTATGATAAGTCGACTTACGGACTTCCGTGTATTTCGGTAATTTACTCTTATTCATCTACAGTTATAAGTTTACATATGCAAATGTCAGATAACATTTCTTTGGTATGACTACAAATCTTCTTCGAAGTTGAAACCTCCTCGGAAATGGAATTAAATTCAGCGAACAGATATGCTATTTTACCTTTTATCATTCAAACTGAAAGAGACAACTGTAATGAATGATTCGTACAAATAAATTTTGAAACGAGGCCGCGTCTACTTGTAGACTTTGAAGCGGGTGAGGATGGAGACGACAGCAGCGGTGGTGGGAATTCCTGGCGGGAGGAATTACAGCGACGCTATCAACAGGAGAATGACTTCCTGGCGGAATTGCGAGCTCGCAATGCTAGCATACCGCAAACACCGTCGGCTACATTGTCCAACGATCAGGAACACGAGAGAAACGAGAGAGAAGAGGCGGATGGGGAGAAAGAAGACGAGGATGAGTCTAATTGGGCGGAGGCAGTGAAGAGATGGGTCAATCGATAAACCGATCTAGCAAAATCTGAAGGTGCATTAAGTGTTAGGTGTTGAGGATGCGAAGAAACTCGGCGAAGAAAAGTCACGAGCGAGTTACAATGACGACTGGATTACACACACAAACACGCTGTGGATGTATACTTCAATATTAGTATACAATGTAACTCTCGATAAAGTGTTGGATGTCACGCAATTTCAGAAACTTATGCATTTACAAGACGGTACTTGCAATCAAAAGATGACGTGAAACTCAACGAACCATTATGGGGATACAAACATCATGGGGATTTTCATACGAAACAAGTACCGCGATCATCATCCTTAGAATGGCATTTGTATCGCGGGGATACACAGTGATTTTGCTACTTCATTTATCTACAATTTGTAATAAGACGTAATAAAAGACTTTTAGAGTTTGTTGAATATACATCCATATATAACACTGTAGGCACAACTCGAGAATAAGCATTTCCGTTTTATTACATTTTTGTTTATTGTTATTTGTAATTACTGTTATATTTGTAATTACTATTAAGCGAACTGAATACAGTATGCAAATTAAACACAATGCGCAATAGTACTGTGTCTATCTTGTAATTCCATCGCTTTAAAGTTAGCTTAGTTTTAAGCGAGCATACGTCTGTATATATTTGCGAAAAATATGTCCGATAATTGATAAATCATCGGTTTCATCGTCTCGCGTTCCATTCATTCAGACGTTATCATAGATCATGCGACAAATTTTGCACAGGTTTTACCAACCATTGACCAAACCTGATCCTGAACCAGTTAACTATAGCGATAAGACGACTGCAGTTAAACCAATTTTTTAATACATTACAAGTTTAGCGTAAACTTAGTTTGGCGAGCAAAGTGTGTTTTTGTACATTTGTACCAGTTTAAGGTACAATATGCTATTAAATAAAAATGTAATAATATAAACGAATATAAAAATATTGACGTATTAGATATCGCTTGGAATGATGACTTTACTGAATTCGATCGCATTTACAGAATACGAGAGTAGAGAAACGAAACGTCTAGTCTTACGTACAAAGTACTTAATTTTAAGTTCCTAGGATAAGAGAGTATTCCAATTAATGATCCAATTGTTAAACCACGACTGCTATTAATAAGAACCAATGCGTTTTGTAACTATTTAAATAGCATGCCCTATCCGCGAAATATCCTATGTATATATAATATACCATTTCAGAATTCCTTTTGTCTATCTCTGTCAAAATGATGTAGCGCCTACATGATATGAATGCTGAATAAAAGTTTATTGATACATATCGAAATGGTTATTATTTATCCTTTCAAAATTAATATTTTAATAAACTTGCTTCTATCCCACACTATCTTATATTATTTTTTTGGTACAAAAAATAAAATTAATCTTTGAAGAATATAAAATATATAAACGCATCGAAACTTAGTTTATCAGATTATGAGCGATCTTGAATTATGTAATGTGTTGCGTATCTATTGAGGTAGATATCTATAGAGCAAATGCAATGTGTACTCTCTATTAAAAAAATAGTTTCTGAATCAACTTGTATACATATTATCTTGTTATAGTAGTAGCATTATGATAAGTAATCAATAAAAGAAAAAATAAATAAAAATTTTAATATTCTGAATAAAGATTTTAATGTTATATATTTTCAAAAAAATGTACTCTTGCAATAATTTACTATCTAAACAAAATCTATATACTTATATAAAATTATAATTTATTTTTATTAGAATCACATCTAAATGTGTAAATAATTTTCTAAAAAACAAGTAAATCAGTTAATTTTTACAGAGAAATTCATATGTAATATAACAGTAGCAAATGTTGATGTAAATTATAATATCCACAAATAAATTTCAATACTGTGTTGCTTCTTATACAAACACTTAATTTAAGTGTGGTATTATTAGAAACTTTTTACCTTCAATTTTTTCTTTTTTGATTGCATATCCATGCTTGAGATGTTTCCATCATGAGTAATCATATTATTTATTTCACTGCTATCATTGCCTGATTGCAAACTGAGTTTCGCTTTTTTTATACTACTTGGACATTTGTCAAGTGTAGTGTCTAATGTACGTTCTTCTTCGTTCATATCAGTAACTACTTCTATCCATGAAGGCGACAGTAAATCATTTTGATTTTCAGTTTCTTGTCTTGTATCAGTCTAGTAAAGTATGAGAAATAAATTATACATGTAGAATTGAGGAAATCTGGTTCGAAGGACAAGTTTAATGAATTGTCTAATGTATGCATAATCATTTCATATATTGATTTCATATATCAACGCTCGGAATTAGTTGCACATTTCGAGCCGATTCAGGAGACGACGCCTCCTGTTCCCCCACTACCGCCCGGCCGCTGGCGGCCGAGCCGCCGATAGCTCTGGCGCAGGAGCGTTTTATATTAGAAATAGGCTGAATTGTTTAGGCATTTCTTAGGAAATCGTAACATTTTCTTCACTACATAAATAATGTTTATTTTCATTAATACATAATATATATATATATTTAATTATTAATGAAAATAAACATTATTTATGTAGCAAAAAAAATATTATTTTCTGAGAGGTGCCTCAACAACCCAGCCTATTTCTTATATAAAACGCTCCTGCGCCAGAGCTATCGGCGGCTCGGCCGCCAGCGGCCGGGCGGTAGTGGGGGAACAGAAGGCGTCGTCTCCTGAATCGGCTCGAAATGTGCAACTATTTCCGAGCGCTGCCATATACTGTGAATATTTCACAAATTAGACATACAAAAATCACAAAAAAAATTAAATTTTGTGGTTGACAATTTTTTATTGCAAATAAAGAATTCTTTTAAAGCCATTCTAAATGGACAGAAAAGCAAAACAAATTTGCACTAATCATTAAGAATGGACATATTAAATTAATTACCTGATTGTAAATATTTTTTTTTGGTTGTGGTGTACCAAGAGACCGATTATTTGAGTTTCTTTGGCTGTTAGATTTTATAATACAGTTTTGCTCTGAATTTTTAAGCAACTCTTCTAGGTCATAAATACGATTTTGTAGACATAATTTTTCATTTTTACAAGATTTTATATATTGCTTTAAATGCCTAAAAAGAAAAAACTTTAATAAAAATATTAGAGATTTTATGCTGAAAGATTTAATTTGTTACTATTGAAAATAAATACATACAGTAATTCTTTTCGCTCTTTGTCATAAAACTTAGATTGCCATTTCAAATTATATTGAAAATTTGTTATTTTATTCTCGTTCTCAATCATCGTCCTAAAATCAAAGATAAGCGAATTAAGCATATTAAGCATATTAAAAGCAAGGTGAAGAAAAGGCATACTTTTTCATAGCACAAATGTAATTAATTAATTTTGGATTTTTTGTTTCTTCAACAATTTTCATGACATCTTTAAGAGTATCATCTGATATTGTTTGTTTTATTCTATAAAAAAGAAAGAGCAATTAATTAAAAACATTTAATTATATTAAAATTATTCAGGATATATAACATATACAAATATACCTTTGAAATTCATCCAGTTTCTTTTTTGTGTTAGACAATTGTTCCTCTAGAACTTTATATTGTGAGGAAAGTTCATTTAAATGTATTATTTTTTCCTTCAAATCATAAATTTTAGAATTTTTTTTATTTATCTCACTTTCCACGTTTCTTACTTCCTGCCTAAGCTCAGCATTTTGCTTTTCCAGAGCTGCATTTTTTGAAGTAAAATGTTCGATATTTGTGTCCTTCAGTAAAATTTGAAAGTTTAAATTGTCAATTCTTTGTTTCAAATCCTCTGTTGACAAATCCTCTGTAGAATTTGAAGTTGTTTCGTTCAAATATGTAAGATAAACTCTATGGATTCTTTTTTTTGTTATTGTCTCACGACATTGCGGACACGTTGGAGCTCTGAAGCAGAAATATATGTAATTAGTTGATGTTTTTTTTATTGATTCTCTATGTGTGTTGTTAGAGATAAAATTAAAAATTAATAATAAATTAAAATCTCATTAAACAAGACAATGAATGTTTTATTTACATTTATTCTTTCTTGCACTAAAAATAAAATAATCACATGAGACTTTGAAGAGAAAAAGAGAAAAGATACCAAGTGTAGAAAGTGCAATTAGAAGAAAGAAAATTAAAGATCTATCCATCGCATATGAAAACATAACCTTATGACCAAATGCGTTTACCTGTTCAGCCACTGATTTATGCACTGTAAATGAAATACATGTCCACAATTAGTGAAAGAGACTTCGGCGGATGATATTAAACGATCATGACATATATTACAGAGAATAACCATGTTGTATATGAAAAAATGGCACAACAACAACAATGATCAACTATTCAATTGAACTCAATCCAGTGCAGAGCTGTCAGTTTTCCTCGGCGCTGGCAGCACTTGGCCAGATTTGTGACGCAAGAAGCAAGCAGTAGAATGGAGGGAGTATTGCACCATGTGTAAGCCACCTAAAATTTTAACCAAGACTCAAACCATTTTTAGCTAAAACTCAAACCAAATAATTCGAGTCTTGGTTAAAAATGATTCTATGTCGAGAGAGAAAGGGTCTAAAGATTGATGCTTATTCTGTTTATCTTACTGCCACCTATAAAGATCGTGAATGCTGAATAAAAGAGCTCGTTCACAGAATTTATAGAATAAAATATTTCTTGAATAATCTTCTGAAAAATTTTCTAATATATTAACCAAGAAAATAAGTGAAATTAAAATAAGTGAAAGTGTGCTATAATTATAATATTGTATATTGGAGTTACACTGTGTTATAATTCATCATAACCATGTAAAATGTTTATTATGATTCTGTTCATATATCAGATTTATGCAAATATTCCTCTATATTAGAAATGATGTTTATTGAAATATCCATTTAAAAATAATTTTTGGATTAGCGTTTTTTGCAAAGTTGAGCACATAATCTCTTATATAAGAGGAATAAAATAATTATAAGACAAGAATTTCTTTCTCTTTAGATTGCACATAATGTATAAATCTCAATTTATTGGCCTGGATGATGCACCATGCGACACAAAATGCCTGTTGTGCGATTGTACATTTGTTCTTCCAACAAATGAAACAGATTTTCTTACACATTTATTTAAGATACATCGTCTCGTTATAGGAGATGTTTGGAAAATAGCTAGTTTAAAAAAGTATGATAATGATTAATTTACTCTGATACTTATTATTTTCATCATTTTATAATATTATTATAATACAATAATCTTGATCATTTTAGTTATGTACACTATTGGAATGTAAAATTTAAAGAAGCACCACTGACAACTTATTGTACTACATTGTTAATGGATTGCACACCAGATGGTCAATCAAGTAAAAATGAACGTTATTTCTTGCTTTCTGATTGTTTATCAGAAGACAAAACTTTAAGAGATGAAATACATCAGGCTAAACTTGTATGTATCAATGGAAAGAACACAAATTGTGTTGTGACTTACAATATTCTTTTTAAGGAATGGGCATTGGCACAACAAGAGATTGAGCGCACAGATATAAATTTTAAACGTGGTTGTATGTTTTGTCGCATGGAATTTTGTGGATCACGTGCTGCGTATATTAAACATCTTTATGAAAAACATAATCTACATCTTGGCAAGCCAGAAAATTTAATATTTCTTGATGAACTTTTGGACAAAATTCAAAACACTATTGAAAGGTATTACATTAAAAAAAAAATTACGATCCACACATTACTCAAGTAGCATTAGTGTTTTCAAAAAAATGTTTATAAATTTTAGCTTAATATGTATTTACTGTGAGAAAACATTTAAGGATCGTTCAGTGTTAAAGGAGCATATGCGAAAGAAATTTCACAAATGTGTAAATCCTAATAACAAAATGTATGATAAATTTTATATAATTAATTATCTAGAGCCAGGAAGGACTTGGAAACAAAGACAGGTATGATATAACTTAATTAAAAATTAAAAAATTTTAATATAAAATTGTAATTTCTTAACTTTTGGGCAGGATAATTTAGAGAAAACTCCAGATCCAGAAGGTGGCAGTAGTGGAAATGAAGATGAAGAAACTTCCTGGTCTGATTGGAATGAAGAATCTATTACAATAATATGTTTATTTTGTAATTATAGCAACAATGAATTTACCTATATCTTGACCCACATGAAAGAAGCACATAGCTTCGACTTTGAGGAAACAGTCAAAGATTTGACCTTTTATCAGAAGGTATGAATTATATCATGTAATTATTAATTTTATCTTTTTAATAATGTACTATTTTTTATAATACATCGTTATTACAGGTAAAAGTCGTCAATTATATAAAAAGGCAAATTCAATTACAACGATGTATTTCCTGTGAAATAGAAACAGATAATGTTTTAGAGCATATGAAAAATCAGCAGCATTATAAAATTGCTGCACAAAAAGTTTGGGACCAACCAGAGTTAGTATGATTAGAATCACATAAAATTTTTATTCACTAAAAAATTATATTGAATATGTGTATTATTGTATATTTCAGATATTATTTTCCTATGTCAGAAAATGATTCATTTTTATATAATCTTGATGCAACTAGTAATAGCGATGAAGAAAATGATGTTCAAAATCTTACTGAAGCAGTGTAAGTATTATTAGAAGAAAAAATCTAATATATATTGCAAATTTATAAAGTAAAATAAATAATATGTATGTATTCAAAAAATTTCAGATCTAATTTATGAACATTGATTTTTACTAGATAGAAACCGGATTCTCGTACAAAATTCTACTAGCTTTCAATTATTTTATTATGTCAAGCATTATTATCATGTTTATTATTAAATTTGTTGTATTGTTATATACTCATGTTATTATATAATAAATTTATTTTATAATAAATATATTTCGCTTGCTTTTTTGATATATCCTTTCTTATCTGTTGTACTGAAAATGACGCACAATAGTATATAAATAATTTATAATACATTTTACAAGATATGTTTCTCATATGTACAATTTGTAGTGACTCATATGTCACTACTGCAATACCATATTATTAAAAAACTCGAAAATGTTGAACAAACAAACCTTTATTGTGATTTATCTATCTGTATCTCATTTTTTTACTTTGGAAAAAAGTTTCTTGCCGCGTACTTTGGAAACACCTTTGTTAGTTAACGATTTTTCATATGTTAATAAACATTTCTCATGTAGAGCTTTATACAACATTTCAGCATCATTTGCATTCCCAATTATTTCTTTTAATTCTTCCTAATAACCAAATATACAATTAAAAATTATTTATTTTTAATATTCCAATTATTTAAAAATTGTAACATGATAAAAATTTCATTACAAGAACAGAATTGATTATTTACTTACTTGTGAAAGTGTAATAAGATGATCTAACGATTTTCCTTTATTCAATAGAATACGCAAGTTTTTCGAATGCACACCAGGTAATTTAGCCATAAAATCTTGTATGTGAGAATTATACTTTTCTACCATTATTTGTTTGTCTTCCGTGTTTTCATCTGCTCCAATTTTAGCAGCTACATTTGAATCAGGCTGATTTCGTCCTTGCTATAAACATATAATTAAACAATTACTTATAATGTTATTTTAAAAATTTACATTATTTTTACCTTCAATTCTTCAAACAACTGTGCTGTTGCTTGTGGACTAGGAGACCATATAAGTTTTAGTTTAGGAAAATGGAGCGTTAGTAATTGTAACTTTGAAGTTATTTCAGTATTTTTAAGATCTCTACTAACATAATAATTTCCCTAAAAAAATAGATATCATTGTTATGTAGAATAAATGCACTTTTATTATGTAGAATAAAGTGAGTGTCATTTTAATAAGATTATAGCTACCTGAAAACAAAATGGTTTATTCTGATCAAACTCTATGAGAAGCATGGGTTTGGCATAATGTCTTGTCATAGAAACTGCTTGATTGTATAATCTTCCAGAAAGTAAAGAACCAATTAAATCAGATATACTTTTTCTCTCAACGCATATCTCTGGTGTAAGGATGTAATCACCTACCTGTGAAGTGACAATATAAGCCATGAAATCAGAAATTACATTCAGCTTACATTAACAAACTTTATACATGTTTCACGTACCACTAACGTCACCGGTTCAATTTTTATACCACGAGTGTATAAAATGGCAGGTAATTCACTTCTAAATTCTCTCATATCGACAATAACTTTCTGAATTACTTTGGTTTCAGATTGCATTCCACCTTTACGCGTATTTTCCTGTTCTGCGTTATCTGATTGTACAGCAAAAGTCAGACAATCCTCCGATTTTCCATCTTGATCTTCTGGTACAACCATCGTCTAAAAAAGTAGTTAATAATTATGTAATTATTCAATATCATATTTCCTGTTTGTTAATCGATTTAAATACTCACAGTTTTCGTATTAATTAAAGAATGAAACGCTTCCTTTTCCCGTCGTAATGAAGTAAGATATTCTTGCTCTTCAACAGATCCGCCATAAATTAAAAAATATACCTTCAGATCTAATGAAGGATTATTATTCTGATATATCTCTAATTGCCTTACGGTACTGATATCGGCTACATATAAAATAACATTGTTTGGCGTATGCTCAGTTAACGTTCGTTGTAAAGCCATTGGATCTCCTCCCTTTTTTATGGCTTGTATGAAAACCAAAGGCGCGGATGTTGCGCAACTGGTTAAATCTAAATCTGCCAACTGTAAAATTAAAACAAAATGTAAGAAAATAATTTTCTAACAAGCTAATACTTTTCATAATATAATATTCAATTTACTTGCGAACATTCTTCAAACAAAGTTTGTTGTTTTACATCTGTTGTAGAAGTACTTGGCGTAGTTTCTTCCACGCATTTCTGTGACAAGGTGAGCACATAAGTGTCATGATCTCCTCGAGTTTCTTCCTCTGCATTATTTTCAGATGTCGATTCCTGATCTTTTGTGTCTTTCTCACTATTGCTACTTGTTTTTTGTTCTTTATTATGCGATAGTTTCTTTAAAGCCTCATAAAGTAAGTATTCATTGGCACCCATAGTTAAATAGTTCTTTATTTGATGACATATATTGTTATCATGTCCTAAAATAAGAACTTTATCAATATTTTCATTGTCTTTCTTCTTACGCTTCTGTTCTTGAATCTCAAACAGAACTTCTGACAAAGCTAGCCACTTTGGATTTGGTTCTGGTTTTAGTTCATTCTTTTCTGAATAAACTCTGCTTTTAGCATATTTAAATAAATTCTCGACTTCATCTAACATTATCCAACCACTGGACTTCACAGCATATTCCATAGTCCGTAAACGATTTAGCATGGCATAAAATGAAACGGAATCTTCATACGTCAAAGATATAATAAGGGATCGTAATGTTTTTAGATCAGAAAATAGTTGTTTGGTCGTTGTACTGAGTTGATGCCAGATTGGATCTAGCTGCGAATGTAATTGCTTATGAAACTTTTTTGCTATTGCATTCTCCACAGTTAACTCATCTAAATCTAAATATTTATTGAGCCTTTTCAATTCTTTCACGATATAATTCATAACATCAAGCAATGCTGTTTGAATGTTTTGCATCTTTGGTGTGATTTTTACGTGTAATTCTATAACATCAGGCTCGTGCTTAGATAGACAGTTATTAACAGTTGTATGAAAGCGTGGCCATAAGTATAATTTTTTCACAAACAAGGCCTTCATAACTCGTTCTACTCGTGAATATCCAACTGTGAAAGCCAATGACGAATTTGTAAACGCTTTGATAAATCCAGTCTTGTTACTTTGCCTGTACAAACGCAATGCAAATGCTTCTTGATACAAATTCAGAATATTGTGGGCTCTATATACAAGAATACCAGTGACTAAGTGCAGTGGGACTCTATTTTTTAACAGATCTACCACCAAGATACGACCTGATATAAACAGCACTCCACCCTCCAAGTACATTATTTCCCTGCAATATTTTGTAAGTATTATTAAATACATACATATTTAAATAAAAATTACAAAAATTTTTAATATACTAATTTTTAATATACCTTTCATTAGAAGGACATTCAGCATTGACTACACGTGGCAATATATTTGTCCCATAATTTTTAAGCAGATCAATAAAGTAACTCTCATCGTAATCAGTGGTTCCTAGAACTATAACTAAATTGCCTGGATCTGAATAAGCTTTTATCACATTTGCAAAAACAGCTTCTATACCAAGGCCCCTATATTTTTTATACAAATGATTAGAATACATATTTCTACATAACATGATAGCAAGAGAAAACTAGTGATACTTACTTAGCTGTAATAACTAATCCATCCTCTTGGAGGATTTCAAGAAAGATTTGATTTTCGTATTCCAACATGTTTATTAATAATTTTTAATTCAATTTCTAGATTTCATAATTTTAAATAAGTTTAGAACAATAGTTGAACTAAGAAGTCCATGAAATACCATATCAAGTTAGCAAAAAATGAAATATGTCCTCTCTAAAATAGTAGAAAATAAATACATAATTAAAATTAAATTAAATAAATTAAATACCCTAGAAAGTAAATACGTAAAACAAAAAAAAGAAATTCAATTAACTCATATCCTACTTTATTATATCGATCTTTATAAGTGCTTCTTGATACTTGATCATAAGAAAAAGTATCTTCTTCTATCATTATTTCAGATACCAATAGAGTATATTTACTGATTTCATGAGATGGATGGCCATAAACACCAATACTCACAGGCCGTTTAAAGCTATAAAGATAAAAAATATATTACACAATGTTAAAATAAATTTAGAAGATTATAATATACAATACCTTTTAGGTATAAAAATAATATCTTCTCCACAAGTTGTAGATTGTAAGCAATAATGATCTGGTTCATACGTTGGCTTGGTTGTAGTTTGCGATGCATACAAATCTGCGTCACCTGTTCTAAAAAACAAAGTATACAATGTATACATGGCACATTATAATATATTATAACTTAACAAAACGATAAAAATTTCTATATTATTAAGAGAATAAAAAATGTTGGACAACAACATAGTGGACATTAACAATTGTAACATCATTTAATTCCCACTCACATTGATGTCAACCGTATTTTAATGTAACCATCATAAGTCAAGCTATAATATTTATAGGAACCACCAGGTACATCATCACTGACATAGTGCAACAAGTCCTCTTCCAATGCTAATACACAGATTATCTAGGAGTTTAACGTTAAAATTTAAGCACGCATTTACGAAACTTCATAAAATTAATTAATACTTTCAATTTCAAAGAGACTTCGTAGAGAAAAATATTTTAGTCATGCGCAAAATTAAAAATATAACCTTAACTTACCAGTGATGTAATACTAATAAATATTTCCTTCATAATATATTGCATAGCAACATTATTAGCGAACACTAATGCTGACGATTTTTGCACAATATTTTACTTAGACAATGGAACAATTGTCTAATTATACGAGAAAGATCGTATTAATTTCTCTCTGCTCCTTTCGTTCCGTTTCGTTCGAAAAGTAACCAAGAATAACCAAACATAACCAAATTGAACCAAATGTACGTAAGAGTATATTTACACAACTTGCTTATGCGGTATGCAAGTTTGTTTGAATATACCATATCCTAACATCGTGTCGTTTGAAAGAACAGACTTTTCTCCCAGCTCGACATTGCGCACTCTTCCGGCTGTTATGACAATTTCTGTGGTACATCGGTTCGGAACGCAAAATGTAAATGCTTTGTAATTAATTATGTATTTTGTTAATTAAAAGTGTATAACAAATGTAAATTTTTTTAGGAATGCAGATTAAAACGATGGACAATTGCCGGAATGTATTATTTACTGTGGATGTTTGCGATTAACAGGGCTTGTCGATGGCTAATGATGATATTAATTTGATGCTGCCTACTATGAATTGAAAGCGATACAATTTCCAGTGAGATTCTTATAAATTATCATACTATGGGCGCGCGGTATACTTTTCAATAAATATAAAACAAATACTATTTTTATATGAATATCAGTATCTGACAAGATATTCTTCTTTTGTTCCTAATCTAATTCGTAATCTAACTTGCATGTACAGTGTTAAATGAGTTTTGTTGTTGACAAAATGTATTTTATCTCATGTTGGCGTTTTATTTATCGCTGCATAACAAATTCATGAAATTTGTGTTTCAGTAATGCAACTAGCAATAAATACGGATTTTCAATATTCATTTGATGAAGCTGATGCAGAACAGTTCAAACTATAGCGAGTGGAACAAAGTGCAAGAATCTAACAGGTGAATACAATTATTTGTCCATTATTTAATTTTACATTGAACAAAATATACTCATTGTAGTTTATTGAAAAGCGCATAAATATCTGATCGCGATATTCCAATCGTTTCTAATGTTCAGTATCTCAATAACGAGAGGTTGTTTATGTAGCTTTTTACCGTTAGTGCAAAAAGTGTAACTATAAAAAACAGATTATGTCGACCATAAAATTCGACGCTATATGCGCGCCACCTTCCCGCCATTTTTACAATTTTTGCGGTTCGGGACGCAGTGCGCGAATGCTCCGCGATTAATTGTGTGTTTTATCCGTTAAAAGTGCGTGATGAGTATGAATTTTTGTCGGGAGTGTCGATTAAAGTGACGCGCGATTACCGGAGCGTATTATTTACGGTGTATGTTTACGATAAATGTCCACATTTACTTAAAATAATAGAAGTATTACGAAGGTAGAGTAGGAGGGGTGGGGAAGGATGTTCTTTTCGTTACATGTAGCGAATCTGTTGAAAATTCTGCTCAAAATCGAATCACGCGCCAACTACATATGTTCGCTTATAGCTCGCAAACAGTAATACCCTCTCGCGTTGAATCGAAGCTAAGGGCAGCGAGAAATGGAGTGGTTATGTAGTCGCAACGGGAAGGGGCCGCGATGGAGGGTCAAAAAATGCGAGGCTGCGCGCGCAACCGCTTTGTCTCTTGCCATGTAGCGGCGCAGTGGTGGGGCGATGTGCGGAACCACGAGGGGCCACCAGGGGGCCGCGAGTGGAGTATGGCGGATAAGCGGCAAGCTTCATTCTCTCAGTCGGCCGCTGAACTCGCGCGCCGTACGGTTGGTACGTCTGCGTTTATCGCGCTTAATCGTTCGTTTGTCCGTCCGTTTGTTCGTTCGTTCGTTCGTTCGTTTCGCGTATCGTCCGCCGTTGAGCCGCGTCTTTCTTCATCGTTTTGCCGTGCTTTTCTCCGACTAGCATCGTATCCTGCCGCGATCGGATCGAGACGTTTAGTGAGACACTCGCACGTCTGTTCTTCCACCAGAGACCGTTCATCCGTCTGAAGGTGTTTCATCTGAGAGGAAAGCAACGACGACAGCTCTAAGGCCCACGGAAACTGCGAGACTGCTACCCTTGGATTTTTGGCAGGCTCTTCCCCTGCGACAGTTCATCCACGCACGCGGCCGCGACGTCGACGCGAATTTTTTCTGCATGGTGAGTACATTTTTCTGATATACTTGAATGCCGCATTGACCGGTGTTGCTTGCAACCCGCTCGCCGGCTGTCGATCTATGCGGGGGGGATGAAGGGGCGAGTAAATGAAGGGTACATGTTTGTTCCTCGTTAATATTGAATAGTATATTGAACTAGTACATTAATATTTGTACGAGAATTGTTTTTTTCGAATATTCTAGATATAACTTATCGCACACATGACGTGTATCGTCTTTATTTTTTTTTTGAATTTTTTAATGTCCAAATCGCGCCTTCGAAACAAATGACAATGAATAAAAACAACAGAATCTTCAATAATACCAACAGATTTTTTTGCGTTTGCGAAAAATCGTATCTTACTGTTGGTACCGCATATTCAAATTTGCAGTACTGAATAAATGCACCTTTGCACAGTTATTTGCGGTTTATAGGGCCACAACTTGACTTTTCCGATATCAGTGTGGCTATTGTAATTCAACATTCTTGTGAGAGGAAGCAAAGTAGACAGGTGCTTTCATATAATCACGTTATTTATCTATGAAAGTTCTATATTCCTTTATTCTGTAGCAGTATAAACTTGACCAAACGTAATAAATGATAGAAATTTGTATATAAATAAAAATAACATTTATTCGATTGAATTATTGAGTTAGAATCTAGTAAAACATAGTTTGACAAGATAGGTTAGGTTAGGTTATGTTATGCATAGGATATTTAGCCCTGTACGATTTTCTAAAAATTAAATTCCGCTGAGTATAAAATAATTTTATAATGCAGAGGCTAAATTTTACTTATCTGAAAAACTTCTTTTTTCTATTATTATTTTATTAAAACAAATTTAATGCGGAATGTAATAAACGGAAGAAATATATGTATAAATAGGAATACTCATTGATTTAATTGAATAATTAATTGAATAGAATTTTTAATAGAACGTCATATGAAAATTATGAATAGATTAAGTAATGTCATGCATCGATATTTAATTTTATATAATTTTCGAACAACTGAACATCGTTGAGTAACAAGTAGATAATTTTGTGCAGAAATAAATGAAGGAAATAAATTAAGAGCTATAAATAAAATCGCGCATCGCGCTATATCTATATCTCTTATACTTTTTGGTATAATCCTTGCTGACGTTCGTCAGTCAAAGGACTGCATTTTTAACGTTAAATCCGCATTACCGTGATCGGCTTCAAGCCATCATCAACCTCTTTCTGTGCTGAAATCCGTTGTCCTCGCAAGAGCACGCTATACAGTTAGCTCGAAAATTATCCGGTGTTCTCTTACACTGCACATTTTTTTGTTTGTTTAGAAAATGATATTTCCTCAGTTTACAAGGAGACTCATGATTTACCGCAATTTTCTCACTTTTAACGTAGTACGTATTTATAATCAAGTGTTACATTTTATAACTTTAATAAGATAAAGTTCACGTGTGTGAAGTTAATTGAAAAATATAGTTTTATTAACTATTTATTCCTTTGAAGTTTAGTTCATACGAAGCTTTATATTTTCTCTCGCTAATTACTCGAAAGTCTTCCAAATAGGTCAGAGTCTGTAGTAAACACAGGAAATCCAGCGATTTTAAGGCACCGCGGTCTATCACTAGTGATAAAAGCTTGCGAAATGTTTCGCTAATGAGCGCGCCGCGACGAAAGGGAACAGCCGCGCTCGCCGGGTTTTCACACGTGAGCGCAAATGCGAACAAAAGTGACGCAACAAAGAAAAAGATGTTCGCTGTCGCGGAATAAGGTTGGGTTTTTTTGATCCCGGCAAACTGCACTTGTATACAATCTCGAGACACAGTGGCACCGATATTATTTGTCGCAATATTCTGCTTCGCAACCGGAATTGTGCCAGCATTATTTTTATGAGTGATAACTCTTGTTTTCTATGTAGAAGTCATTAGCAAAACATGGTCTAGTATTTCACTTGAAATATATTATTTGTTACTAGATAAAGTTCTAAATGTCTTTCTAACGACAGTTTTGTTTTCGTCAATTTGTATTCACTTTTTCCTCAATGAAAATATTAAAATATATTTAGTTTTGAGTTACAATCGATTTAAAAAAGACTATGTAAATGCCAGAGGAAAACAAATAAATAACAGAGTTATATTTTAGTTGATTAAAGTAAACTTTAATGAATTTTCAATTTCAAACTTTATTAAAAAAATACATGCTATTGGAAATTGGAAAGATATAATAAATGATGGTAATAAATGATGACTTCCACATTTTCACTGAGAAAAAATTGACTCCAAATTGATCAGGAAATGTCATTAAAAAAAATTTGGGATATTTTGCGTAATATCTTGATCTTTAAACAAACTTAGCATTTAGTTAATAATTGCGATAAAAATCGCGTGTAATTATTACGGGATTATTATCATTATACTGTCATCATCGATCATGCATTTAGATAAGCGCGTTTCCGCGTATCACGATTTTGCATCGAGAAAGTCATCCGTGTATCGATGATCGGCGCGGATGGGGCGGTCGGTCGCGCATCTGACGTAACGCGACATTTTCAAACTTTCCGCTTCCTTTGAGATGGCCAGTTTTCCTTCGGTCGCGGTTTATCCCGGTTGGATTTTTCGACGCCGTCCGGTCAGATGCGTATCAGGTGTATAGTGTAAATGTAGATGTGCGCGGTCGCACGTGTTGAATAATAACGCTCCGGCTCGTTCTCGAGAGCGCAAAATTGTGCGTGTTTCGCATGATATAATCATAAGTGGTATTTAAGAATGAAATTAGCATTAAAAGAAAACCGGGGCTATATAATACTGCAGTCGTATGTCACGCGTGGGTATGCACGCCGCGTTTTATCATATGACGAGACTATGCCCTCACCTGTGACTTTCCTTCCATACCTCGTTACTTCCTTCGGACGGGATACAATGAAAAAAAAGGGCAAATTACAGGCTGCATGAAGTATGTCTTCATACTGTACAGAGTCTTTATCGAACTCTTAATGCATCTTCAGGAAGTAAGGCTCACCTAGCGTACGTTGACTCTAATGACAGTTGCAACTCTTCTTTCTCACGCATTTCTCCTTAAAACAAAATATTTTATACATGTAGATTTATGTTGCGACATTTAATATATATTTTTTTTTATGTAAATTGTAATTGTGAACAGTCAAAGTAATTAATGATTATTTTCATAATCAAATATTACCAACAATTAGAGGGTCCGGCAATCGCAATATTCGCATTTCCTTTCATTTATGCAATCTTAATAACGTAAGTCATCAATAACCGCAATTTAGCATAATTGCCGTAATTGCGATAACATTCCCATCGCGGGGAAAGCTACTGTCCGTGCTCCTCAGCCCGTAATTAAATGCGAGGTTGCGTTTCCACGCTCTTAAGTGTTAACAACGTCAATTATCGATAACCGCAGTTTGTAACTATAATTCTAGTAACATTTTCTGCCAAATTAATGCTCTTCAGCCCGTAATTGAACGCGTGAACAGAATTACATTAAATTGTAAACATTGTCCATCTCGACGAACATCTGGGAAGGGCTTTCGCGACTCGAAGTTCGATTTCAGAGACGCTCGAGAGCGCAAACCGCCAAGTTATGCCAACTCCGACACTGTCGCAGTACGACAATCGATCTTTCCGGCTAGCCCGCTGTGCCGGACGCGTGCTCGATTACCGTGCAGATTTCCGTTATGAAAATCTAGCTTCGCGTTTGTTTACTCTTGAAATAGCAAACGAATTATGTACCGCATGAAACATGAGAGCATGAACATAAAAAGGTATAGCAATATAATATGAAATATAAATATTTTTATATTTTAAATGAATATATACATATATATTTTATATTCAGAAATATGTCTCTCGTTATTTTATTATAGACAAATTATATAACCGCATCGCGGACACGATTAACGTAGGGCTAATTATATCCTGGCAGTATCCGATATCGCCGGGTTATAAAATAATAATAGGCTCGAGTCAATGCAAAGTGCGGCCGTACGAGCACCAGCGACAATAAAGAATGGTGTCCTTTAAGGTCGTCGAGTGCAATCATATCTAATCGATCGTATTCGCTTTATCCGGGCAACTTTCATTTACGCACGCTCGCGATTACGCAACAGGGCACGTTCGAGATACGATATAAAGGACGGTTATTCGCGTCAATGATCTTATTCGACGCGGAACTTCATGACACATTTTTGCCCCTTTCGACCCGTATTTCTATCTGCGTGTGAGTCAGTTTTATGATAAATTTAACTATTTTATTCTGAGGTTTTCTGACATGAATATTGCGTTCAAAACAATAGGACGGAAATTAGAAGGTCACATTTGACGTACGCGATAAGAAAACAGGATTTTGCGGTATAACGTCGGTTAATTTACACGCGATTCCGGGAAAAATCACGGATGACTTGCGCATGCCGATAAACGACGGTGTCAATATTTGCGCGGCTTATCGATTGATCCCTAAAATCGCAGGCATTGGTGCCGTCCGACTGGTCGCAGCGCGTGATTGCGGCGAGGAAGTAATTCTTACTTCCAACGCCTCTCCTTTTTTCTCTTTTGTCGCCGCGCGTACAAATTCGGGCTCTGACTTCAGCCGGTACTTCACTCGTAAATCACCCGCCACGGCGAAGTCGCCGCTATTGCTTCTGAAAACGGTCCCGGTGCCGCGATCGCATTAACTCTACCTCGCAAAAGCGTCACGCTGCGCTCGTACTGTTCATAACGATATGCGGGAGTCTGCAATTTATTATGCTTTCAGTGTGCCTACGAATAACTTTCGCATTGTAGAGTATTTATTATTATTTGCGTGGAGTTAGGTCTAACACTTCTCCCATTAGTTATCGCCGTTGTACGTTATTTAATTTCTTGCTCAATTCAAAATAAAATATTTTCATATAAATCGAAGCTTATATATCAAATTTTATTCATCAGAATCCATATATTATAATTCCAATAATATTTTTTATTTTAGAAACTCTTGTATCGAAACATTTTTTAT